AGAGAGAGAGAGAGAGAGAGAGAAGGGGGTGGGGCAAAAGTATAAGTCTATATCGTTCTTATAGGCATATATTCACTAATGATATCAGCTAATAATGATAGTAGTTCGGTTTTTTTTTTTGGTAAATGTTTTACGGGCACTAGCGATACGAACCCGGGACCTTTGAATGAGAGGCGAACACCAACGCCGATCAAGGCCACGAAAGCCCCGATAGCGCTTCTAATGAATTGGGTAGGCTACCATAACAATGATGTGATACTTAGTCTACAGTAAACTTACTTTTGTCTTCCCTGTGTATGAAAGAACTTCTTTTTCAGGAAAAAAAAATATTCGTGGCCAGCGGAAAAGCAATTAATTACTGCTTGATCATGTGTAATACATGACAGTATAGTATGATAGATTATAGATCTTCCTTTCTTCGAAAGGTCTTTTAAATGAGCAATCTTGACTCTATACTACAAAGCATCTTGTTCGAGATGATTGAAAAGAAGGCATATTTATTTAAATTAATTTTTTTTTAAGTTGATTGATTGATTGATTGAACAATATCACCTTGCAACAGGTGCATGTTTTTTTTTATCCACCGCAAACTTTTGAGAGGATGATCAATAATGGGCCCGGCATAATATTATGTTCAAAATAAATATCAATATCTCGAGCCTCTTAAGCTCTCAGAGGAGTAGCCATTCTACAAAAAATGATTAATATTCGAGGGAAAACAGTGAAACAAGGAAGTGAACTAAAACCAAAAAACAAACAAAAAACAATCTATCCACTGACGTGCATTGTCCACCTTTCGGAGAATTCTTCGAATAGCTGCGATCTGATTTTAATCCGACTGCCCCCCCCCCCCCCCCATATTACCCGGCCCGGAAGGAAGTTGCAGGTGGTGGTTGCTTTCACACTTGTTATTGTTGCGGAATGAGCGAATGAGGAATAGGAGGGGAAGAGAATTTCGGTTTCCTAGATCTACTTCAAAGCCAAGCACATTAACACTGTGATGGTCAAAATGACTGTGATGTCGGTCTTCATCATTTGAAGAAATATCATCGTTCATCAGTGCTCGAACGTAAGAGTTAAACATGCATGTTTGTAAATTGCAAGTTCAAGTCAAGTTACAAGTAGGCCTCTTTGTACATTAGATCTAATATAATCTAGCATGATTAGCAGACCACCTTTAACAACTCCCGTCTCTTGTCATGTTTGTAAATTGCAAGTTCAAGTATGCCTCTTTGAACATTAGCAGACCACCATTAACTCTCATCTCTTGTCCCTGGTAAGATTGTACTTTACCGGACCACCGGTGGAAACTACTTTTGCTATGGCGCCCCTGGTGCCTAGTGGTCCGCTATTCTTTCTTTCTGAGCTCCCCTACTCACTCTCCTACTCAGTTTCTACGTCCTCACCCTGCGACTGCCAACAACCGACTGACGTCTCTTACCGGATTTTTCAGTGATGTGCCACTGTTGTGCCCTTTGACCCACGACCCTGACACCTTGAGGCTAATTGGTCAGTCTAATCAGGTGGTCCACTATTCTTATTTGCTCGCGACTCTGCTAGGCTAGTCCTACACTCCTGGTCCAGTAAAGTACAATGGAGGACGAAAGCTCATTTGCATAACTGCAGCCCCCTCGGCCCTGCTCGCCACTTGGCGAGTTCTGTGAAGCACGGCTCGGCCTGTTCCAAGTCTAATTAGATGTACCCCAATTGTCCACTTAACTCCATGGTCCGCTCATGTTAATGTTTATATGTGTGTGTGTGTGTTTTTAAATTATTATTGCCAGGGGCTGCCCCCCTGAAAACCCCCTCTGTTGTTATATTGATATATGTAAACACGATTGTCCGCTCATTTTATTGTTTGTTTTGCATTTTTGTGTGTTTTCTTTATTATTGTTTCCAGGAGGGCAAGCCCCCCTGAACACCACCCCCCCCTCCCCACTGCTGGTATGATACATGGTGGTCCACCTAAGTTAAATCCCCTATCCACCCTCAACCGCCACCTCTCGCTCACCTCGCCTCGCCGCTGGCTTGCGCTGTGAGCGAAGTCGCCCGCGTAACTAGATCTACCTTTTGTCCGCACGTAGAGAACTATGAGTGCGTAGTTAGGCTAGGCGTGCGTAGTAATCTCGAGCCCAGACGGGTGGTCTGGTGAAGTACAATCCAGCCAACCCCCTCTCACAAGCTGATAAGACATTATGAGTAGTTACGCCCATTCGAATAACCTTTCTAGACGCTTTTGTTGTTATGAATGACCTGGGGTTCGAAAGGGGATAAATATAGGTCAATTTTTGAATGTTTTGCACTCAAATTGTTCTTTGTACCTGCACAATGGTATTCAAAATTACCGAACAAGCTTATTTTTTATCAGGTAGTATCATTTCATACAAAATCAAGCTCATTTGAAAGGTTTTGTAAATAAAAATGGAAGTCTTGTTTCCTGACTATCCTTTCGAGCTCCTCATGTCTAAGTTGGTCAATTTCTTCTCTAATTTCATTGGACGAATATCTAGAGCTACCAACTTGGCATGTTGTGAATGAGACGTATGCCTCGGTTACGAACCAACGCAGGCTGTTCTAGAAGAAGGCCACAAACGCTCACAAACTCAAGCAGACTGATGCACACACACTTGACCTACGTGAATGGGGATCCAACACGGGACCCGAATTGAACGGGAGATGATGCTCGGCGCGCGTGCCCTGAGCCAGGGGCCAGATTGACGCGGGACCAGAACGCAGGCAAGGTGCCGAAATAGGCTTATCGGGCGACATAAACCCGGCCCCCGCAGGACGAGGGCTACTTTTAGATCTAGATCTAGAGTCTAGATCTACTCCAGCCAGTAGAAAGGGTGGTGTTTTTCGGTAGTTCCCACCCCCCTTATTTGAGCCTAGATCTACATCTAGATCTAGATCTATACGTTTGATGCGCGACGAGCTAAGATATCAAACTTAACAACTGCAAAACATCAAATTATGGTAAAAGTCTCCCCCACCATATTTTTATTGGGTCAGGGGGGCCCCCTGAAACCCCCCTACTCTTGGGGCCACAACCGGCAGGCAAGAATTGTGGAGGGGGGGGGGGGGGGGCAGTAAATAGGGTGGTGCAGGGGGGTCCCTGCTAAAGTCACAAAAATAATAAGGAAATCTAGATCTACCCTAGGCCTAGTTTGCGACAGTTTTTAGTGCCAAAAAAGTATTCCCGGCAGGTGCATCTGCTAATGTTCTATTTTACCGTTGAAGGGAGGTGCACGTTTCGGTCCTGTGCTAGGTGTGTAGCGTGTGTGATAGATATGTCATGTTGTTCCAGTTCCCGAACCTTTTTAACCCCATCCGGCCCGTTCTTTCTTGGTAGTGCTGTCAGTATTGATATTATATAATTCTTTTTATAACTTACTAGTGCAACAATAGAGGCCTGATTTACAGACTATTCCTTGCCTAGGCCCTAAACCTAAACAAATTGTCTTTGGGTAATTGATTGAATTTCTGGGACGTGCAATGACTCAATTTTCTCATCTTTTACTTTCTGCCTGATAGTTAGGCTGCTGTAGAATTTAATTTTGATTTAATGATATATGGAGTTAACCTATAATTATTATAGTCAGTGATCATAATCTCCCGCAGATCCCCGGAAAGTGCGTATTTATAACAACGTATTATATATATAATATAAATGCATATGTGTAAAATGTTATATGAGAAAAATATATCAAATCAAGTTTTTTAATGTTTCAGCCCCCCCTCCCCCCAACCTCCTTATCATTGATTATAAATTACTATATATGAGTTGTTAAATTACTTCTGATATAGGATGGATCATTTTAATTTTTAAAGAAATCTTTAAAGAACTCAGTGACTGTGATACAAGAATAGAATTCTCTTGTTACAATCAACATGGATTTTTAAAATATAATAGCTGCTGTAACTGTCTAGCTATTGTCATGTAAATGAAAATCAAATGCGGAAACTGGATAATTGGCAATTAATCTTAATTCCTGAAAAATGTTCTTTATTTTCTTTCAGTTTCTCTTTGGCGGAAGTGAATATATAACAAGAGGTCACAGAGTGAAAGAGGTCTATATTTTTTCCAACCGACATGGCTGATGACTATTATTTGGACGATATGGATCTAGACATGTCAGACGATCCTTATGATCAGCTGACGGAAGAAGACATTGTCGATTTCCTAGAGAATCACGATGGAGAGCTCACCCCTGAAATGATGGAGCTGCTGGAGGCTTACAGGAATGGGTAAGGTTTATTTTTTTTTAGTAAAAAGTTATAGAAATGGGTATAAAATAGTTTTTTTTTCAGTAATATTGAAAGTGAGTAAAATTGGAGAATACACACACGTCACTCATGACAGATTTTCTGGTTGCTTTTAAATTGCTCCTGAGGGATTTAGATATGATAGGCCAGAGATATTTGACTGATCTCCTAACAGCGCAATGAAAAGAGTGATCTCCATAAATTTTTGTTACTTATTTTACCAGGGACAGCTCAAAATAGGACTCATTAATTGTAGGCCTACTCATATATATATATATATATATTTTAAAAAACCGTCATGGAAAGACAGATGAAGTCATGTGTGATAGACCATGGTCTTCATGTGCTATGCAGTGTAGAAGAAAAAGAAAAAAACTTCACTGACATTTTTGTGCACTGCGATACAGCCTAACATTGTTGATTGTAGTACACTGCGGTATTGCCTAACATTGTTGATTGTAGTAGTAGTACACTGCGATACAGCCTAACATTGTTGATTGTAGTACACTGCAGTATAGCCTAACATTGTTGATTGTAGTACACTGCGGTATAGCTTAATATTGTTGATTGTAGTACAC